TTGTTGTTCAGATTGTTTATCACACTATTGTATTAAATTTCTTCTTATTTTAACTCAGGGTTTGTGCCTCACTTCCAGCCTGACCAGCTGAGGGTGGGAGATGGGCAACAGCAATGTGGTCTCCGGTCCCGGCAGGGCCTAAACCAACGTAAGAAGTTACCAACACTCTGAATATAGTGTGAAAAGATCTTTGCCACCTGAATGCTTTTCCATTAGAATGTGCTAGGTCTTCAGGGTTGGATAACCACAGAAATAGCTTGCAATATGCAAGTATACATCTTTCCCTTCTCTATGTGCAATAGGATGTCACGCACAGTCATTTGTATGCCATGTTCTGGCCTGAACCCTACCTGGTAGGGAGATAAAGCCTTGAGAAAAGACCTTGATCACTAAAACCCTTCTGATCAAGAAAGAAAAGATGCGGCACAGGTGGTAATGAACTAACTTCATACATCTCATGGAGAGCTTCCTGCACTGTGAATACTTGGGAAAAAAATCCTATTCTGCCTACTGGAGCAGCATTAGTTTTCTCTGTGTAGCTGGAGTTGACAGTGCTTTTAAGAGTACTATAGAAAGCCCATGTTTCCACGGCTGAGGATTTGAAGACCATGTTTCAATATTGTTAGGTATACAAACATGAGAAAACAAAGAAATGTTTCTATTCCTATAATCGAATTACTTTTCTGATTCTCTAGAGAGGTCCATCCAGAAACCGTATGTCCTTTCTTTCAAGGTTTGTGTATGTTTGGATTTTTTTTTTAAACACTATTCTGCCCAAATGTTGCTCAAGGTTCCCAAGGTAACACAAAGACAATGAAGAATAAACCAGCACCTTGCCATTTTTTAAAAAAAGTTCTGACATCTAGAACTGAAGTGGTACAAGCACTGCTGTAGAACATGATAAGGAATCACCTAGACTACCTCCCTCTTCAATATATATTTGGCATTAGGCATTCACATTACTTAAGGTTTTTTTCAGGTACACTTTATTCTAGAATAAATTTTTGGCTCATCAGGTACTTCAGTTCCCTAACAAGCCACAATCAGATATAGCCAAATCCGCAACTGTGGCATGGAGAGCTTAGAATTATATTCAAGGAGGCTGCTGTACAATTTCATCTTAGGTCTTTCTTTAGTGGAGATAGAGATCTGTACATAATAGGATACAATTTATGTCCTTAATATATTCACTCAATCCAAACATCAAGTCCTCAACATTTGACATTCTGGTCAGACTGGGACTTCTAGATCTTAAAGCACTTTGGGACAATATAGGAACAAGCACAAATTACAATCTACAGTTTGGGACTTAAACAAATCTGCAACTTTTAAGCATTATGATGAGACCTCTGTGAAGACAGATTGTACTAGTGGTACTTATTGGTGCATTTTGCAGTTGAGGAACTCAATCCATGTTGTTTTCAAAGACTTAAAAACATATACTCCTTAGATCTGAACCACATTGATAACTCCTCTTGCCATAAGTAATGCATATGCCATTATGGGCATTCTGCCCAGCTCTAGATTTCCCACTATATGTGTGAAATATTTTGGTTTCCCTCTAAACCATTCAAAACCTAGACTTAGATTCAAAGTGTGCATTCTATGTCTACATTCAACACCTTTCCAAACCAATTTTGGTATCAGCTCTTCGAAAGTATATTGAATGTATATTAAATGGATGACCAGCTCACTGGACTAAGTAAAGAAATAGGGCTTTTACTTCAATAAAAGCAGATCTGTTTCATTATCAGACTTCTGTATTTTGAAGTCAGGCAGTAAACACCATCTAGATTTTCAGCATACAGGTATATCTATTTGACAAACTATGACTACTGCCATTTTGAGTAGTTTAAACAAATATTAAAAAGATTAAAATGTAACAGAATTTGAAATGTCTATACTATATTGTCCCACTGTAACACCATGATCAGCACAGTGAGAAGTCATGAAACCTCACACTGCTGTAACACACACAAAGAAATAAATTTATTTAGAAGTGTTCTGGCTGATTCTTAGTATGTAGTGAACACGCTTACAAGAAATGAGGCTTCCCATTGCAAGCATAGGCAACTGCAGTCGAGTCCTCCTCCAAAATCAACTTTCTACCTACCACCCATCCATCATAGTTTGTACTTCTTCCTGCCATCCATTGTGTCTGATAGAAACAAAGATGATGTTTCCCAAATTAGATCAGACTTTTGTAAAAACAAACATGCTGTACACATGAAAGAAGCACGTTAGAGACATGTAATCCAATACTGCACAATTTTGATAACTATCCTTTATGTATTTCAGCTATATAAATTGCATTTTTAAATATTTTTAACAGACTGCACATTACAGAAAATTTGAGGTATAACACCAGGAAACTGTTTTAAAAATAATAATATTTAAATTTGTTTCTTCCACTTCTAGTAGAAAAACTGATAGTGGCTGTAACTGAAATATGCAACCACTATTTGAAAAGAAAAATACTAGATGAGTTTTCCAAGTATTTACCTGCTTTAGAGATAAGCTTTCACATTTGTACAGTGTATCCAGACTTTATGTTAGGAGGGGCCAAATATTATTTACACAAATGCCATGCAATATGTGAACCATGTAAAAGAAGTAGAAAGCTCTTATCAGAACTATTGAAATGTAATCTGGATTAAAATGAAGTCAAAATAAAAGAAGATAAACAGCAAAGAGCACAGTAATATTAAGAGATACCCAGGAAAGCTCTCATGTGAGTTTGACAGTTTACATATTACTCCAGTTTTCACAGGGGTCAGCTTGGCTTTTTGTTTATTTTCATCTCTCTCTCTCTCTCTCTCTCTCTCCATATTCATATATTTATGTATAGATGGTAAAATACTACCAAGTGAAATTTTGTTTCAGATCCATATTCTTTGCTCATTTGTGTTTTTTCTGTAGTGCTACTGTCATATCCTAAACCATATTTCCTGTAATGTATCTCATTGTTCTACAAAATGTACATTTTTATTTAAACATTTTTCAAAAATTCTATAGAGATATTCATTAAAAGAAGCGATTCAAGTTCAAGAGAGACCTTTTTCAAATATAGTATCCACATTGAAGAGATGAATCTGGAAGGTCTCAATGCTTCTGAAGACTGATGCATCTTCCCCACAAGACATCACTGCTCCCTAGGGCTCAAAATGTTAATGATGGACAGCAGTTATTTTTTCTTCTCTGGGCAGTTTGTATACATTAGGTGTTTTACCAGAATTTCTGCAATTCCTCTATTAAATTATTGGCAGCACACTACCACATAATGTATATTTCTATAACCTGGGTAGCTCAATACTCTCAAAGCTCTAACTTCATAGTTTTAAGATTGAATTTAAAAAATCCCAGGACAGATCAAATCCTCCTTATCATGTTATCATTGACTTTGAGAGCTTACACACTTGACAATAGTATTTTGTCTGTGAGACCAGCAGAAACTCTTTAAAGAATACTACTGACAGCATAATTTTTTTTCCCTCTGATTTTGTTCACTGTGTTCTTATTCAATACACCTGCTAAGTGCAAAGCTCCTCCTTGACACCCCTGCAAAGGACAAATACACTCACATGCTTTTATGTCTTAGGGCCAAATTTACATTTCATGCTTTGTAGAAGGAAATAATGCTGCACCAGATACCAATACCACCACCCACAGCATCAGCAAAAATGTTCCTGTGCATTCTTCATAAAAATATGCCCAGTTCAGATTTTACCATGGCAGCAATCAGTAAAACCAGCAACTCAAATCCAACCCACAGAATCCCGGCATTAACCAGAAATCTAGCCAAACCTAGTACAGCAATGATCGCTAACTGCTCAAGAGACACTCTTGGCAAATTTCCAGGGTCCCAAAACTACAAGTTACTCTGCTGATTTTTATTTATTTATTTATAGAGTCAAAAATAAGTGCAGAGATCATAGAATCTGCAGTTATTTTTATTCTCCTCAGTAGGAGGATTTTGCTTTAGTAGGAGGTAAATTGCTCTCTGTTTACACTGTCTGTAATAAAAGCCTGCAGTTGAGCAGCCTTGTCCTCACACTGCAATTACAAGGAGAAGGTTTTCATGGTTTGTGCTGTAAGACTCTGCAGGCCACAGTTGGCCTTTTGGCCACAATTTGATCGCCCTTCACTTTCGTAAAACCATATATTACTCATCTTCAAATCTCCAGAAGAGTCAAAGTATGGGAAAATTATTTACTAATCAAGTGCATGCCCAGCCCTTGCAGATAATTAATTTTTATAGATCACTATCTATAAGTCAACACACTAGAGGCTCTGATTCAGCAGAGTACTTAGGCAAATGGTGAAATATTTATTCTGAATAAACTTAAGCAGGCACTAATTGCAGGAATATAGAGAAGTGACTAGTCATGAATGGACTTAACCATCCATCTGAATACTCTAATGTATTAAGACCTTGATTTGGACAGCATTTTATATGAATTTATAGACAGTTGGAACACAGAGAATACAGTGACTTGCTTTTACAGATGAAATTGCACAGCAACTACCAAATTGTGCATGTTGCCAACTTCATTAAAACAGAGAAAGGTACTGCATTTCTTGCTTTGTTTTGGGTTTTTTAAATTTTATTTTACTGTAACGCTTTAAGAGCTATTTAAAGTATAAAAACTTAATAGTGTTTCACTGCACTCTCTATTCCACTAGAGGTCAGCCTGCAACAGAACCCCAAGCAAACACCGTAACTGCTGCACACTGGTAGCACTGACATTATTTTCTTTCTCTATTTTGTCTATTAGAAAGATTTCTTCAGAGCAATAACTTAGATCTCTCAGTAAAATAGAGCAACAGGAAGATATAATGGTGCATTTCATTTATGAATGACCTATAATAAATTACTATGAAGTATTCCAGGTGCCAAATGAGAATGCTTTGTCTCTCCATGAACTATATTTCACATACTTTAATTTGGCTGACACATAAAACTCATCTGACATTTTGCAGGTATTTCTCTGAAAGGATATTTGGTTCTTGTTGAGCGTTAAGGTATGGAGGTGGGGTAACCTGGGTAACAGAAGGTCATTTCCGAGTAGATTGTTGTCCAAGATCAGCTCTTCCAAGTAACTGAATGTTTTCAGTCCTTCTAGTGACCTGCAAACGACAAAGGCAACAGGAAAAATGATACTCCACTAAATCAGGGAGGCCATTATGAGCTAAAATAAATATTTTAACCTTCCCTTTCAGGAGTGGGAATAGTTTTGGTTTAGGCCTGTCAGAAGAGTGAATGACAAGCATTAGTGGCAAGGGGAGTGCTGGCACTGCAACACATCCTTCACATGCTGGCAGGATGAAGGATGGGGGTCACTTAGTGAGTAGCCAGGATCCAAAACAAAAGGCTTCAGATATGGGGCCTCCAGGATGAATTTGTCAATGTCTTGTGCCTTCAGGCACCCAGCCTTGCCTGACCCTAACCTCCATTCCCAAGATAAATAACTCTGTCACAGTTCACCTTCATTCCCTGGACACAAATTTAAGTTGTCATCCATCATTTCTGCCAAGAAATATCATACCCCACTAACAATAATAAATACAACTTCAAGTATCATTTCTTAGCAGTTACCTTACATGCAATAATAGGAAATGGAGAAGGGATTTTTTTTTCCTTTTTATTAACCACTTAATTTGCTTCTTGAGTCCCTGCAAACAAAATAAAATGTTGTCTACAAAATAAAATGCAGAATTACTCCAGACAGAAAAGGCATTTGCTGTCTTTTGGGAACTTACTGTCCCACTGTCAAGCCACAGGTCAGACTGCAGAGAGGAGCTTTAAAAAGAAGCATTTCACAACATGGAAGTGCAGATGATGGCTTGTAAATAAACAAGATTCTGAAGGTATTAATTCTTCTGATAGCAAAGTACAGGGAATAAGCCTAAAAAGAACACTCTGATACCTTGTTAGGGCATCTATTTCAAACCTAATTCTTATTGCTTGGACATTCCAACAGGAAAAAACAACACCACACATTAATCAACTAAGACACATGGTATACAGAGCATACACACAGACATGCATTCACAGCTCATACACCTACCAGACACCTAAAGATATGCTGAGATTGTATGACTTGACAGCTGATCTACTGTGCCTACCAGTGGGAAGATCATCACTGTATCTCCTGGCTGTTTTATAAAATGTGATGAATAAGGGAGATGCAGTCTATACTATTTATTCAGTTTCAAATGACATTTATACCAAGGGGATTTCCTTACCCTCCCCCAGTTTTTGGCAAAGATCAAAATACAGCCAAGGCACCTGTTAAAGAGTTCTACAGACACTACTACTGGAGGAAAATACAAGTAATATTAGAAAGTACATGGCTTGTAGATTAAACAATTTAATATTTGTCTGTCCAACAAAACCAAGATACTGCTTTTATAGATACAATGTACTGATCACTTATAAATCACAGTTAGAGGGTTCAAATAACGAAAAGAAATCAAGTCTGTGACCTTTACATTGGGTACTGTACTATTTGAGTAACATTTGCACAACACTGAAAGAGTGTATTTCAGTCCAAGGACTCCAAAGCACTCACAGTCTTGACCTGGTGTTCTGAAAGGGAAGTACAACTATTATTAATGCCATTTTGATGCCGGGCAGCCAGACCTGTAGAAAATTTGCCATGCCTACACCCCTATGGCCTATCTATATCATTACAATGCATTGAGACTAGTTTCTGAAACTGAACGAACTAAAGCCTCTACTATAAGGATTATACTGAAACAACCACCACAGCAATAGCTGCACTTTCTGCATTTGCCTTTAACAAGCTGTTTCAGAAAAACTCGATTCAGCCTACATAAACTGTACACCGTTAAGAGCTGTGCTAGCATGCTGTATTAAGCTAGGTATTTAAACAAAGGCTCACAACAGACTTGATTTTGCCACAGTCAAGATCAGAAGAGAGATCAGCAAACATTTCACAGTGCTTTCCCCCAAACACCTTTTAAAGACATAACCCAGAGAAAGTAGCAGTGAGTTTATCAAGCTGTTATGAGTTTTCATTTCAGTTTATTTGACAAATCTAGTTTAGCAAATTCCCCTTAAATACTCTTTATTATATAAATAGTGGATTATTTCCAAACTTCACATTTCAGTGTAAGACTTTGACTTGCCAAAGGAGTTCAGAGAAGGCCACCTCCTTGTCAACACCACAGAGCCTTATGGGATGTTAATAGGTCCTTTGTGAAACAACATTGCTTGGGCTCTGGTCAGTGTCAGCATAAAAATACACATTGTTCCTGAGTTATGTTATGCAAATATAATACTCTTATCATGAGAATCAGCAAATTGTTGGCAACTGGCAAGGAGAAGAAAGCACACATCCAAAGTGCTGCAGGGGAGGCATAAAACAAAATGACAAGCCATGAAGTGGGACAAAAGGCCTTGAAACACTAGAGGGAGTTGTCTATTGAAACAGCCTTTCTTTCACAAGCCTGGACTGAACACGAGGGTACTAGTTTCATAGATAGGCAGAGAAAATTGTGCGCAAATCTCCTTACACCTGTCTGGTTTTGATAATTTTTGCCATGTAATGTTATTAGCTGCTCATTTAAAAAGGAGCCGAGTTACACAGGGGGTTGCTTATTAATTGTGGTTTTCATGTCATCAGAGCAGTGTGCACTTGGTGATTTAATCACCTAAATTCAAAGTCCATGGAGATGGGAGGAATTGCCACAGTAGAGAGAGAGGGTGTAGCTATTAACATAAATTTACATCCATATGTTATTTTGCTATTTACAGAATTCTTATTTTTTCATCTTAAACAGAAGAAAAAACTAGCACCAAAATGAAATTGGTAGGACAGTTGGTAAAGAAACAAAACAGGAAAAAATGTATTTGCTATCATTCAGTGATACTGGTTACAGAATTCAAGGCAACAATCTCTACCGTCATAATATATAAGGAAATATTGCCCAGCAGTTTTACTCCACAACTGAAAAGTTTTAAGTACAATCCACACAGTAGGTTTTAGGGTACAAACTTCAGCAAGTCCCATAATTTCTATGTGCCTCAATTTCCCATCTGCCAGTGGGGGATAAGAAAGGATTGACAATCGTGGAGTAGTATATAGAAAGCATTTTTGAGAAGCTGAGGTAGAAATCAGTAAAAAAGGCTGGAATTTTTATTTTTAATGACTGTAACATAATCATATTAATGTACTCCAGGTATTTCCTTATGAGCCCATCATAGAAGAGGATAGGACTGCATATGTATCCACAGCATAGCAAGAAGCACACAAACACCCTGAGCCGAGTATAAAAAGATGGATATCCCCCAAGAAAGAGAACCAAAAAAAAAAAAAAAAAAAAAAAAAAAAGTTTTCCTCTATTGGTATATTAAAACAAACACACAATCTTACCACCACAATACAACCAGCACTGAAGGGGCAGTGGCAAGTACTTGTTTTCCCTGGTTTCAAAAGGCTAATAAACATCACTAAGTGCATTGCAGGTTGCTTTTCCCTGCTCTAATGACATGAAAGCTGCCCATTATCTCACCCACAGGTACCATCTCAGTTACCTCATTGCAGGGCTCACACTCGGTTCCCAGAGGAGAGCAAGTGCTGCCAAGAGATTTCCATTGCAATTTCCAAAGTCACATCAAACCGACAAAACATCACAACGTATTCAGCGCCGCCTCATTCAAACAGAAAAAACTTTAAGTTTCCACTGTAATTAACCCTATCCTCGTTAAGATAATTATGATCAAGCTTCCTGTCACAGCTAATATCACAGCATCATTGCCTATGGCTCATGCTTTGCCCTCATTAGCTTACAAAAACACTGCACTAAACAGGAAACTGACTCCCTCTGCAAAAAGACTTAAGATGTTCTGTAAGCAGACAGTAAATAATCCTTTAGAATACAAAGGTCTCAGAACTGTCATTTTATCCAAGTCCTTCAGCTAATCAGTATGATTTCTTCCAGCTTTCTTTTCCATAATTCATTCATGGTTTGTAAGAGAGTTTAATCATAAAGGAATGTCACAGAAGAGGGGTTTTTTCTCTATGTATATGCATGGCAATTGTCAACTACACTATTTCACTCTGGTCCCTCTGGCCTGACGACGATTTGGTTACAATGAAAGTAAAGAACAGCTCTTCATTGTGGTAATATTTGACAGTGAAAACATGATATTTTATAAATGAAAAAAAGCAGAAGCCTCTCAAGTAATGGACAAACCTTGGTACTCTGCAGTTGTCCTTGTTCAAAAGAACAAGCTGTTCAGAAGTATATGCTGAAAAAGAAGTGTTCCTCACATTTTACCCCACCCCTCCATTAATAAGACAGCTGTCTTATATCTAATGACTTTTTCCTCCTGTTTAACAGGAAAAGAGAGAGCAGTTAACAATATGTAAATGAGGGAGTTTGGCTTTAGCCTTGAAATTGATTTGCACTCTGTTGACAAGAGATAGCCATTACAGAAGTTAAACACAGAGCTGCTACAAAACAAGAGCTTTTCAAAATATCTTTTTTCTTGCCTTTTATGTTTTAACAGATTACAGGAAAGCAGAATCAACATGAGAACCCTAGTACTAGATAATTTCAGTATTTAAAGAACAGAAATGTAATTTCTGTTTCTCCAGCACCTGCCAGCTAAGGAGCACAAAGCATTTTTTTAAACATTAATGAATTACTCTTCAAAAACCTGCTGAGCTTAAAATTCCATTTCGTAGTAAAGCAGAGAGAGGTTAAGTGACTAACAAAAGGTGACCTCCAGCAATTTTCTAAGAGACAAGAAATAAAACCCAGAGCTCCTGACTTCTAGTCCTTTGACTTAACCTCACCAAAACAAAACAAAGAGCAATATATAAATGCTATATATATAAAAATACAAAACAGACACATGTATAAGTTTAGATTTTGCATAATTCCCCGGGAATGCAAAACATCATTGCAGGTTTACTTGGTTTGATTCCTGTTCAATTTTAAATTCCATTTAATCTGAAATATAGTATACAAATAAAGGGAAAAACCTAAGTAATTTCCAATTCTGTTCTGATGGTGAAAGGGGTTCAGCGAATCTTCTGTGCAAAATCCCTCAGGCTGAGGCCTCTGTCAGAATTCTATTCTCAAACCTGCTTTGAGGGGTTCTGCTCTAAACACACCTCTCACCTGTGAGTAGAGAAAAATAAATAACCCATTTTGAAGTAACTAGAGTGGCTAGAATGTAGTTCAAATTCCAGGGAATAAAAAAAAAAAAATAAAAAAAATCTCACTATTATAATCACAAAGCCACTGCAAATCGAAGGTTTATTTATTTCCTGCACACAGAGATAGTAATCACAGATAAACTGCAAGTAACGCATCAAAAAATGACCTCTATACTATTGAAGCATAATAGCTTTTCTTTTCTGCAGTCCTACTCAGTGTTCATACTCACTTTTCTGCATGACAATACATCCAAAAAGAAAACAGTATGTAATGGATAGTTCTGACATGATTTCTGGACCAAAGCAGAAAAAAAATCCCCAAACTGTCACAGTGAAAAGTAAAGAACCTCCAAAATTTCTAGTGTGGGCCAACTCCCAAGTTAGACCAGACAAGCCATGAAACAGGAACCATGAAATTCAGTTCAATGAGGAACAAGTTTACCAATGTTTCCAAAACATTAAATGCTTTGATTTGAATAACATGAGAGGGAACGTTAGTATTTTGAAGGCTATCTAGAGGTAGCATTTTGCATCACTTCCAGACAATCTGTTTCAAGTTTTCTGTTGCTAGACAGAAAATATGTGGAAGCAGCTCTTTGAATAAAGCTTAAGGGGAACTTGTGAATATGGCCAGCAAAAGAAAAAATTGAAAGAAAAGAATGAGCAGAATCATTAAATACCTGTGAAGAATATACCTCTATAAGAAAAGATTAGACCTGTATTATGAACTAGATCTACAATTAGTTTCTGAGTCTTCATATAAAGGTCATTCTTCACTTTCAGACATAAAATAAAATTAATATCCAACCCTTGTTTTTCCCCTTTTCTTACACACTGAAAGCATACAAGACTACCTGGGACACCTTATTGCCAAAAAATATCTTGAACATCATAAACTAAAGCTATGTAAGCACACTAAAATGGTGGGGATTCATGAAAACCCAGAATCTTCATCTGGTTTTCATAGTCTTGTTCTGAATCTTACACAGCAACTTCCATTGTTTAAAAAAAAGTCCAAACTACTCAACCCTTACAAGCCACCACCCATCTCCAAACCTCAAAGAAAATACAAACAAAAGTAGAGTCGATAAACAGACAGACAAAAAGAGATGACGCCTCCTAAATTCTGTGTTTTAAATTCACAGCATTCTAAACTCTTTCTTACAAATTATAAAACAGAAATGCATAATTTCTTCAGAGAGATTTTGCTATTAAGCAGCAACTCCTCAAATGATGGAAATATCTGAAAAACAACAATGAAGATTTATGTCATCCATCTGTAGAAGCCCAGTTATTCGTAACTCCTTACAGCCAGCGACAAAAGATGGGCACTTCCAGAAGGTGAATCAGACCTTCATGTGAGGCTTAGCGAAGTACACATTTGGGAGGGATAAACATAGACTGTTTGTCCAGTCTTGCAAAGAAATTAGAAGAACATTAAGGTAAAATAAACTGTTGCAGCTGTGCCCCATACAGGTGGATTATTTACCTGGTGAAGTAAACTACAAATCCCAATTACAGTTTTCAGTAGCTTACAAAAAAATACTAGAGTCAACCATTCAGTCGTTCAACCACCATTCTCTCCTACCAAGCTGCTAGTAAAAAAATAAAATAATTTCCTGGCCTAACTACCATGAAGCAACCAGACTGACAGGTGGGGTTCAATTTCTCTTCTAATGAACTTCTTATAGTCTCAGATTTCACTATGTGTATTTAATACAGCTCTAATCAAGAGGATATTGCATTGATACAGCGCAACCTTTATCCTTCATGTTAGGCACCTTTTTGCTTAAGTTTTTATATTACATTTTAGGAATAAACATGCCAAGATTTTATATGATACTACTGTTACAATTTTGTATAAATTTAAATAAAATTACAATCAGTGTAATACTATAGCCTGTGGCAAGACGATTTTCACTTAAACCATATAAAATATTGTAAAATAATACCAAATGGATTGGAAAATGAGCTCTTAGTCATCTAGTGATCAAACAAGTATCATATGACAAAACACAGTTTGCAAAACACAGCTAAAAATTATCAAGCAGAGAGCAAGTGACTGTAATACATTGATATTTTATCAAAGGGCATCCTGGAAAAACCACCACTAGGAAGTACCTTCAGTTCAGTGGATGCATCGCTTCAGTGATATTCCCAAGTACAGACTTAAGCATCCTTCTGCTAAAATTTCCTGAAAGTATTCTATGAAGAATAACAAAGTTAGAGGAGTTAAGAGAGAAACTTGATGTGAGCATGTCTTGCTTAATTTGTCTTTTTTTTTTCCCAATCTTAAAACAGAATTCAGTCCTAATAAAAAGTAAACACTGCCAGTTCCCAAACTAGGAAGAATTAGTGATTAGAAATAGCAAAAGAACAAGCCAAGGTTTACACCTGTTTAAAAAAAAAAACAAACAAAAAAAAAAAAACAAAAAACCACCATCAAAACTAAAACCCTATAATGTATTTATTCTTAAAAGCCCCTCTCAGCTCCATGTGCCACGTTGAGAATCTATTCATAAACCCTCTAAAAAACAGTATTATAATGGAAATATGAGCAAATTCAAGTGCAAAGACAGTGCCATAATGAAAGCTTTACTGTATCTTGGATCAATCTGTCACTCTGCAATTCAGATAGTAACCTGACCCCTCCCCTTTTTGCACAGAGAAGTAGGGAGTAACAAGCCTGTAGAGTGAGTAGAGTAAAGCCTATTCTGACTACTAGAGTTCAGTGAGAAGGGGGGAAAGTAATTTTTCTCCCATCTTCCACAACAACCAAGGCTGAGGATTGACAAGCAAATTGACGCACTGCTCAGAGGGCAAAAGATAAATGTTTGATGAATTGGCCATTGCTGGAGGAGTGATGGGCTTCATATGTGCATAATGGACTAGCTGCCGTTCAATTCAGATTGCCTGCCAAGATAAGAAACCATAATGAATGGACCAAGCACAGCCTGTGCCATAAGAAAGTATAATCTGACTAGTTTTAATAAACTTAATAAAAAAGATGAAGCAGAGAGAGGCAAGGGGACTGGCCTTTGTGACCAGCTATAAGAGGTGAGAACAACTAATAGACTGCTCAAGCATGATAGCAGAGAATTGTTAATGGACATAACACCAAACCCCTTGATGTTAAAGAATATTTTTAGAACAACTTAAAATCACAGGTATGCATATACCACAGACACTGTAGTACTTGTTACACAACATATAACTGACATTTATTTATTATATACATTAATTCCTTCTGCTACCTATGCTGGTTTGTCTCCTTAACTTCCTTTATCCCCTCCTTATGCTATCTTTATCTGTACCCAGATCCACACAACACACCAATAGTTTCACCAACTCCTCAGAATCAAAATAAGCCTCTAACTGTAACCCAACAGAATTCAGGCTCAATTTTCAACAGAAAGGTTTTGGCAGCAGAACTATATTGCTAACTTTCATCCCCAGTGCAAAACCATCTTTTACGATCAGGACTGTTCACACCTGGTGTAATTTCATTTGCTTTTGCAAGCTGTTTCCACTAAATATGAGAAATTTACCAGTACAGTTATAGCAAAAAAAAAAAAAAAAACCAAAAAACACCAAACCAAAACCTTTCTAGCACAGACAAGACTAAAATGCCAACAGTAGTCCTTTCAGTCCAGGATTTGCTATGTTAGATGCTGTTCCCTATCTGTACCCATAACCTCTAAATTCTGACCTCTTGCAGCAGCAATCAGCACTAAGAAATGACATTAAAAATAAAACTAAACTCTTGCAGTGTTTTACTGTACATGGGTACATAGCAGCGTAAAGTCTGGTAATCACCACCGTTTTCATGGTAAGTAGCATCTACACACAGCCATTTCTGCTCTTCCCTTCTCATTATTTAGCCACATGAGTAACAGTGGCTCACTTTCTGAAGCTTACCAGACACTGAGACCTGAATCTGTGACTGAAAATGCTAAATGAGTCAACAAGAGAAAAAACAGCCCTTATTTTTAAAGCATCAGGATTAGACCAACAATCTTTTTCTTTGTTAAGAATCAAAGGGCAAGTGTGTGCATATAACACACAGTACTTGCCCAGGCAGAACTGTGTTTCCCTTTAGGTAGGGAAAAAAAATAAATAAAGGAAGAAGGGGATTGCAGAAAGATCCTCTTGACTGAAGGCAGCTAAAAACCACATTATTCCAAATAACATCATTGTTATGCATGGGGTTTTTTTGTTTTTCCTTTTTTCCTTTGATGATGAAAAATAAATAAGGAAACATAAAGTAGTCTACTTCAGTAAGTATTCAGATTACCACCCCCTTGATGTCAGTTATGTAGCCTGTGTCATATTTTAAACAGAAATTATTATATGTAAGACGGATGTCTAGTTTTCAGTATAAATTTTATCCAACTGCAAAAGGAAAGTAACTCATTATCAAGCAGCTCAGTAAGGCTCCCACTACTGAAGGAAATAAAGTTTTACGACAAGAGGGTCTCTCCTCTCTCTCTCTCTCCCTATGAGTGAGAAAGTGAGTGCAAGAATAAGACAGAAAAGGAAGGCTCAGGAGTGCTGGGTGAATTATAGACTGCCTCTCAAGATTCACAGCTCTTCGTGGTAGGAGGTTAATATTCTCACATGTCATTAGGTCTGCTGGCTCTACTGATGGCTCATTGAATCAGGCAGCAAATTATTTCCTCATGCTGCAGAGGACACCACACTTCAAAGGGAAGGAGCCAGGGTCAAGACGGCTCTCCAGTTCGATTAATGAGTTGGGATCAGCAGAGGTTGCCTGTAGGTAAGAATGTGACTGAAGCTTTTGACAAAGCTGACTTTTTGAACAGGACTTGACCCAGGCCCTTTACTCCCCTCCCCACCAAATTTTATATCCAACATTTGCCTCTGACTGACCTGCTCAGGCCTGTTGGGATAGTTTTGACCTCCTCAGTCTTTGTTACCAGACACAGGAGCTGTCTGCCTGTATTTGATGTGTCTCTCCCTAAATGACACATCAGCTTATCCAGGCTCATCAGAATACTTTAGAACTGCACAGCAAAATAAGACAGATTCATTTCAAATTTTTAATTTTCTCATTAAATTTGTTGAGAAGGGGGAAGAAGGAGAAGACTAAAAGATATTTGAGCTTTCAGTAATATCAAGAAATGTTTCTAAATTATGTTAAATGCAGATAGGAACACAAAGGTTATTAGAAGTATACAACCTAAATATTAAATGATGGAAAAGCAGAAAATATATATTCCTACTTACATGGATTTGTTGACTAAGAATGTTCCTAGCAAATAATGCATTATATAGAATATTCCTCTAAAAACATTTTATTTCTATTGCCATGGTAGCAAAAGATTGGAGACAACTAAAACTTAACAGCCACTGCATTCACATCTTTCTAAATGCTCAATGGTATCCTCAGTTTAATGTACCTGAAATATCTTAGTGTATTTAAATAGATTTAATAAAGTAATGAAGTGATTTATTGCATTAATGTTTTTTGATAAGATTTATTTAAACCTCACACTTTCTCAAACAAATA